GCAGGAGCACAGACAGGAGCAGTTCTCTCTCCTGTCTGTGCTCCTGCACTCTGAAGATGCTGGTCACAGGTGCTGGCGAAACGTTAGGAAACAAAACTTCCAGAACACGGCCACACAGCTCGGAAGACCCACACCAGTCATCGTATGCCAGCCGTGAAAGCCTTCGACAATACAAAAAATCCACTGTTTTGCCACTCTTCTAACCCAATGTAAGACTGATCTGCCAGACTATAATCCTGTATATACTTAATTGGGGGGAAATCCCATAATAAGTATTGGATCCTACATCAGTAAAGACATGTATAACACAGGACTGTAAATTCAGAAAAAAATATCCAGACAAAAACTGAAAAAAGTTTACTGGCATTCTTTGTCTAGTCAAGCCGCATGTTTATATGCTATTTTTTTTTCAAAATGATATTGTGCAAATTGTTTGTTATGGACAGAATTTAATTCAGTTTGGGATGACTTCCTTCTTTCTTTCCTATTGCTCTAGTAACAATTCAATGTTTTAAATTAATAAAAGGCCAGAGATAGATTTCCATATCTTGGAAATGTTGAGAAGATGACTCTAGTAATTCTAGAAGGCATATTTATCAAGATCTCACATTACTTCTGCTCTTCCCAGCATGACCAGATGAAAGATCTTCACTACTGATATAATTGTACCAAGACACTGAGGAAAAATATATCACTCATTTGCTACAGATAACTTCTAACTTCTCAGTGCCTAATAGTTTATTTCCTTTTAATGATTACTGTAAGACACTGAATAATGTTGTTACTTTTTAAATGGAATTAGATAAGAAACATACTATATTTTGTACAGATTATGTAATTGTTTGATAATTATAATTTAGAAATATATTTGGAACCAAAATGATAAAGAACTTCATCAGGAAAGTATGCAAAATTTATTAGTAAATCACTAACATTAAAATATTTAATAGAATCTCAGTCTAGCTCAGAACTAGTTTATTCATCTTACTATTGTCCAATAATTCCAACCACACAATAACTTTGATGATAAAACAAATACATCCATCAAAAAAATAAATAAAAATTTTAGTTAATATGAAACAAAGTATGTCATAATAAACTAAGACCAAACCACACTGATTTTATGTTAGCGCTTAAATATGACCACTAGAAGCTTTACTGTAAATTAGATTTGTAATTTAAATCTCAAATTCAAATTCCTAACATGAGATGTACAGTATAACTAATGAAATTGAGTTATTTATAAATACATATATTTATGCATCCCATCTACTGTGGGTACTTTGCACTATAAAAAGCTAGAACAATAAAATAAAAGAACAAAGAGATATCCATCCATAGAAGGAAAAACCATGCCAAACAAAACCAAAATTATTAGCATATTAGATGTGTTTCACTGAACTTTTTCTAAAAGTCAATCTCAGAGTTGTTTTATAATTTTCAGTATATTTGTCTACTCAAATATTAGATCAAGTTCTTTTTTCATAACAGATATGTGTCTACACCTAACTTTCGTCAAGTACATACCCTCGTGAGTTAGGCACAACATTAATACTGTGGAAAGTTCTGATAAAACTCCAGAAGTGATACGAAATTAAAATGACATTTTATTATTCTCTAATATTTTAAGGCCAGCAATCTACTTTTCACGGTGGAAAATATCAGACTGTCTTGTGGAGAAGAAAGCGGATGCATTTTATTCAAATATGTAGACAATGAATAAGTATATATTAAATTAGTCTTAATATAACAAAAACTAGTGCCAGGAAGAAACCTAACAACCGTACACCAATTTTGATTTCTTTCTTTGTAATAGTAACTAAATTTAAACATTAGTACTTCCTATGCACCAGTTTTTTCAATGACAACAATATACTTATAAGTACATGTATCTACTCATTGTAGTCAATATAATCCCCATTTATATAAGCAAACTGTTTAAAATATATTTGCCAGTCTACAAAAAGCTTTTGTTCTCATGTATCTCTGGGATAGCTTTAGCCATACCTGGAAGCCCAAGAATTGTATAATAAGGCCGACATTCAGTTAGACCTGAACTCTGACTCACACAAGTCCTCCAAAGCCCCTGATAGAGGAATAACGATGTCACCGGGTTATTGTATAAATCCTGGGTACTCCATGGATCCATCGCTGTAGCCACAATGCAGCCAGCAAACCCAAGGGCTGAGACACAAAAGCCCATCACTTGACAAATTGTGGTAGACATGATATTTCCTTCTGCTAGCAAAGCTTAAGGTAACACCGAAGTCCCCTTCACTGTACCAGCAATTTGTGGCAGTTCTTATCAAATGGTTTCCATTAATACGTTTTGTTTGCTCAACCTGTTTTTACAAGATAAAGCAGTTTCAGTCCTGATGAAAGTGTTGAATGCTTCAGGCTGGTGGCACTAGACTAGAAACTAGAACTTTTCTTCCTGGTTGGTCCAATAGTCCATCTAGATCAACTGACAGGCAACTTTCTCTGATAAACTGTACTGTAGAATCATCATACATGCACATACTGAATTATCTGGTTTAGTTCTGCATACACCATGAGCCTGACATATCACAAATTAGATTATTATGAAAAAAAGAGAAAAGAACTATATATTTATGTTCATTTTCCCCATAATGATCTTTCTCAATAACATTATCAAAACCTAGTTTTGTTTTGCCTTATTTTATTTTACTTTTGCAAATCACTGTAATTTAACATTATTTCTACATTATTATTAATTGAGCAAAGTGTGGTGCTTCATTTTAATATTCGCAATGTTCTAAATAGGTAGCGCTTCCGGTCTAACACTGTGCAGTTAGATGTTTGGGGAGACTTTTGGAGCGTACATTTGCTGTATAATGCATCTATTACAATTTAGAATTAAAGGTAGAATCATAGGATTTAAAGTAGTAATTTTGTGGGATTTGTAATTTAGAGAGTATTTTCCAGTTTAAAGTTAAGTTCAAAATTAATAATAATTTTGGTATCTATAGAACTATGACACAGTTCTACCTGTTAATCAGTGCACTGAATTAATAATGAGTAAATGTTTTCCAGAAGGTTGCTCCCCTAGAGTACATCCCCCCCCCCGCTTAATTAATCTCTAGCATTTTGCATTCCTTTTGTAATGTTACATTAATCTGGTAACGTGTTCATGAAAGTGAAAAAGAACTTTTGGTCTGCATGCTATGTTTGTTTTTGAGTCTTTCCTATTTAAAGAATTTTGGAAGGGTACAGAAAAAAAAAGTTTCAGAGTTATTGTAACATTTGTTAGTGAAATGTAAAGCATTTTAATAAATGGTTATTAATAGGCAAAATCTTAATGACTGAAAGGAAAGTTTTGGTTTAAATAGGCTATGATTTACTATTTTCATGCCAAAAAGCTATTAGCCATGAATTTGATACTTAATATTACAATTTCATGGATTTTTGTTGTACTTCATATTAAATGAAACTTTGTTCTACAACCATAAATAAAATTTACTTTACTATGTACAAAGAACAAAATTGCAGAATAAATATTTATGTTTGGAGAAACATGCATAAAAACACACACATTTTAATTTTATTTTTTTTTTAAAAAGCCCTCAGATTAATTACAAGAATGGAACAAACCAAACATATGAAATGAGAATTGAAAGAAACCAAAATAGAGAATTTCACCCATCTCTAAATTAGCCTATAGATTTCTGAATTACACTGGTGCAGAATTATTATAAAATGTTAAGGCAACTTGTCTTAAAGCAATATCAGTGCTACATGAGGGTTTGCAGGGGATAGAGTTTACAAACAAAAGACGCGGGTCTTACATAACTATACAAACCACAGCCATAGTTTTAGAGTCCCTAGTGAAATAACCTGTAATCCACATTAAAGAAATTAGGCAATCTAGGATCTTGGGAATTATTCTGAAATCAGAGTGGTATAACTACTTTGAGGTGACCTTGAAAAAAGAAAAAAAAATGAGGTTTAATTTTATTGATGTATTTCTAAGAATTATATGGCCATCCATATTATGAACCACAGCCCTGGGTAGCTCACAAAATGATAAAAACATGAAAAACAAACAAACAACCCCAATAAAAATAATCCCAACAAGATGGAGGTATTATGTGTAGGGTAACTAGCTATGCTAAAGTTTACAACTTATCTCAAATAAGGATAGTGATCTTTCTAACAAACCAGTTGCACCTTTTAAGAGCTCCCCTGACCTTATTCACAAACTTCCCACCCATAGGGCACTACTATGTTGAAAGGACTACAGCAGTGTTTCTCAACCTTGGCACCTTTAAGACGAGTGGACTTCAACTCCCAGAATTCCCCAGCCAGCATGGGGTG